CATAAAGCAGCATACTGTCTTTTGTTGTCTTTTTTTTTCATCTACATGTATGACATCCAATAGTTGGTCTGCTTTCAAAACACAGGGTGGATTCTCTAAGTAGAAGAAAATTGAAAAGTTAAATGGCCATGAAAATAGTGACAGTCATCGTTAGTCATTTGCTACTTGGAAAGAAACTGAGCACCGAATTCGTCTTCAAAGTAGCATTGATAAAGAGTTGCAAAGGCAAATTCAGCAAGAAAAAAATAAATGGAGAGATGTACTGTGACAGTTGCTGGATTGTAAACAATATTTAGCTCCTCAGAATCTTGCATTTCATGGTCATACTGAGGACATAACCTCAAACGAAAACCCTTGAAATTTCCTGTCACTTTTGCAGTTATTAGCAAAGTATGATTCCAGTAATGAGAGAGCATTTAGAACATGTTAAAAACAAGCAAACATCAACATCTTATCTTTCTCCAGAAATCCAGAATGAGTTTATAAATCTCATGGCTTCACATGTGCGAAATTATTGTTTGAATTCATAGAAACAAATACTATGGTATTCTGTTTGATTCCACACCTGATTTAGCCCATCGTGAACAATTGGTCCAAGTTGAAACCATATATCATAGTCTTTCATTTCAACTTGAGCTCCAAATTCATCCATTTTATTCTAATACTTATAACATTACTTCTTTAATAGGAAAAACTGTTGTGAGTCTGATAATAGAAACTTTAGAAAATCATTTTGTGTAATATGATATCTTAAAACCTATCATGTATTTACCAAAGAGAAATCTTGGCTGCCTTACAAACGTTACATTTTGTTTGAGGATGTTACTTGTTATCTGAATAAAAGTGTGTAGACTTGGTGTACTTGGATTTTGAAAACATACAAAAGATTAAGTGGGAGAAACACATCAATAGAGCTTGGAGCAAGACTAGTAAATTGGGCTGGAGAGTGGTTGGATGGAAGAAAGTAAAATACTGTTATTAACAGAATCCAATCAGGGTTGAGTACTTGGGTCAAGGTACAATAATTATCACAGTACATGGGTCATTGTATGATACAATATATTAGTTGATTTGAGCAGGGCAATTAGTTTATTACATTTGATGAGTGGATTAGGATTTGACAAACATGATATTAAAATTACAAGTACATTAAGTAGCATACCAATTATGTTAGTTTCTAACAAAATAAAAAAAAGGGGAATGAAGTTATAATGCAGAGCACAGCACAGCTGGATGCTGAAGGTGGGGGGCATGCTCCAATAGCCATTATTTTGATGGGGCCAAGTTTATCTGTACACTTGCAGCAAACTATTGTAGTTAGTAATTAAGCATACTAGAGGTGTCTGGTAATGGGACCTTGTATCATGAGATATACAATACAGTGAGGCGAAATATTGTGATGTATCAGTGCATCGGCAAAATGTTATAGCAGAACTTGATCTGATGTTTCTTATTTATTTTAATGGTACTGATAGTGGCATAAGAAGTAAATTAATAAACTTTGCTAATAACATTTAACTCTTGTGTAGTTTTAGCTGTATCAAGGCTGTTGTAGTATTATAAAATAACTTGGATCAATTGGTAAATTGAGCTAATCAAAGGAAAATGACTTTATAATTGTATTATGTGCAAGGTAAATGCATATGGGTTATCATGATTTGGATCACAATTTAATTATAGATGGGAACCCAGTCAAAAGTGTGACTATATAAAAGGATATTGGCATAATGGTGGATAATTCACTCAAGCTATCAAAGTAGTTTTCTGTTGGTAGTAGTGAAGCTAACAGAATACTAGGTTTTATTTATTGACATAGATTACAGGTCAAAAGATATAATTATCTCTATACAAATCACTACCTAGGCATCACATGGAATATTGTGTACAATTTTGGTTTTCTTATATAAGAAAGGATATTGACTTATTTTTAAGGTTCAGAAGAGGTCTACCAGGATGATTCTTTGTTTGGAAGTATTATTTTATCTTGAGAAAAGAAGG